GTTTAGCAGCCCCACTATGAAATGTCTTCCTGATGTCAAAAAATTCAAAGAAAACACAATAATATACACAATCCAGACTCTCTGTGTACATTCCATCTTTATTGGCTTATTTTTCCTTACTCCTTTAATACATTATTGTATGTACTCTTTTATATTACTTTTATTGTCTCTTTAAAAACTTTGTTTTATATTTTAAAACTCTTTTTTTCTGGACAGTAGTGGTGCACACCTTTAATCCTAGCATTCAGGAGGCAGAGGTAGGTGGATCTCTGTGAGTTCGAGACCAGCCTGATCTACAAGAGCTAGCTCCAGGACAGGATTCAGAGCTACAGGAAATCCTTGCCTCAAAAAAAAAAAAAAAAAAAAAAACAAAAAAAAAAACAAAAAAAAAAACAAAAAAAACAAAAAAACAAAAAAACAAAAAACAACCCAAAAGACCTTTTGCTTTTAATAACTGTCTATACTCTTTTTCTTCTCTCTCCCAAGCTTACGTACATTTTTGAAACACATATGACCTGTTCTATGGTTTATTTTTGTTTAAATCTATCTTCATTGTGTATCTGAAATCCTTTTCTTCCAAGGAGCAATTTAAAATGATAAGCAGAGTTGTTTCAATGGCCCTAGAGGCTGACTCTGCCTCTCTCAGCCTTTCAATATGGTGGAGGTACCCTTACTGCCATCTGGGACCACCCACTTGGAGTCCTGTGTACCACATCAACTTTGGGAAGCAGTTGGCCCATGCTGCAACCAAGTATGTTGCAATATGCTTTCCACAAACCCCATCCAAGTGCTTGGCCTCTTGAAAGACCCAGACCTCTTCATGTATAGAGCATGAACCAGAAAGCCTTCTCAAGGGAGCTGCACGGTTTTTGCTGTTACTGCTAACTCAAGAAGCCTTCTCTTAAAAAAATCGTGCCTCTGCTTGCTTCTAGAAAACAGAGTCCACCTGAGGAAATGCTGCTACCAAAAAGCTGTGCTTAACTCTGTCTTTTGTGCCTAGAATTTCTTCCCAAGCTCTCTCAGGTTTTATGTTGATGTTGTTGGCCCACAATGGGAACCATTTTATAAGCAGAGACAATTTGTTCCTTTCCAGCAACCCTGACCCGAAAAATCACACAGAAACTGTATTAATTACAACACTGCTTGGCCAATAGCTTACACTCTTACATTTTTAATTAACCCATTCCTATTATTTTATATTTTACCACAAGCCTTGTGGTTCACCAATAGGGTTTTTGGACATCTATTTCCTTCAGAAATTACTTGAAGTCTGCCTCCTTCCACAACTACATGGTGTCTCCCTGATTCCCTCTATGCTCCCTCTATGTCTCTGTTCAGATTTTCTGCCAGATTTTACTTCACTGAGCTATTGGCCAAAAAAGATTCTTTAATCTGGTTAGTGTTAATAAAGCATATTCGTATCTTACAGAAAGTAATCTCACAGCATACAGGGTAGTTTTTTCCAGTGGGAAAAATGAAAATCCTGTTTTTCCATCCAAAATGCTGAGACTTGGATTTTATTAACAGCCTGGTGATCTGTTGGATCAGTCCATATCAAGTTTTTACAACCAAGACTGGATGTAGCAAGTAATCTAAATGACCCTGATAACCAGAGGCTCCATCAAAATCCCACAACAAGTACCACAGGTGGCTAACAGCCCAAATGATCTCTACACTATCCTTATGAATGAGAACAGGTCAAACATTTAGGCTCTTAAGCTAGCACAGGTAGCCTATCTCCAGAACCTATTTTCTTGGAAGAAATGATGTGTACCCTGAGTTGAGTCTCAATGTAATTATGCTTCTTTGTGCAATGGGAATTGTACTGTACCAGGAAGCTCTTTTCTAAACTATACTGGGCGTAGATTAATTGGGAATAAACCACTGTTATTAGACTCCCTGAAGTCGGATCCAGGTTGATGAAGTCAATCTGCATGGGTTTTCATTCTTATCTCTTCATAGGGTTCCCTTCCCTGGATGATACCTACAGGGATCCCTCCTTTATTTCTTCCATTTTTTAAAGATAGAGTTTCTCTTATATCTTTCTCTGGATGCCAAATCCTAAACTTGCTTACTGACTTACTTAGCACTCTCCATCTCCTGAAGACTTCCCACCCCCATACTTGCAGATTTCCATGTCTGAGCTTGACTGCTTCCCTGATCTCTGCAAGCAGCCCTTTTACACTCTCACTAGCTCTCTCCATAATGCCCCCAACTAGGTGTTAGTAAGCCCAAGTGTGCTTATCACCTGGCCCAGGATTTCCAGATAAATACCCTAGTTGCCAGGCAGTGGTGATCCTAGCACTCTGGAGGCAATGGAAGGATGATCTCTGAACGTTCAAGGCCAGCCTGGTCTACAAGAGCTAGTTCCAGGACAGCCACCAAAGCTACACAGAGAAACCCTGTCTCGCAAAAGAAAAAAAACAACAAAAAGGAGAAAAGGAAAAACACCCAGGCAATTAATTGTTCGCACCTTCCCTTTGGTTGCTAATCCATTCACAAGCCAATTCTTCATCCCCTCCTCTGCTGCCATCATTTCTATCTATGATCTTAAAGATGCCCTCTTTATTATCCCGCTGCATCCAAACTCCGAAACTGATGGAGGAAGGTCATTGGCTAATAAAGGAACTGCCTTGGCCCATTTTATTGGTTAGAGGATAGGTGGGAGGAGTAAACAGAACAGAACGCTGGGAGGAAGAGGAAGTGAGCTCAGTCTTGACAGCTCTCCTCTCGGGAGCAGATGCCTGAGAGAGACGCCATGTCCCGCTCCCAGGATGAAGCTCCGACCCAGGATGGACATAGGCTAGAATCTTCCTGGTAAGCGCACCTTGGGGTGCCATACATAGATGATTAGAATTGGGCTAAATTAATATGTGAGAATTAGCCTAGAAGAGAATGGGCCAAGCAGTGTTTAAATGAATATAGTTTGTGTGTTGTTATTTCGGGCATAAGCTAGCCGAGCAGGCAGCCGGGGTGCTGGGGACGCAGCCCTGCCGCCCCTTATTTACAACACGAAACCCCTTTTGCTTTCACATGGGAGGATGTAGACACTCTGCCCAGCATCTCATCTGGATGGTTTTGCTCCAGGGATTCTGCGACGGCCCCATTTCTTTATCCAGGTCTTACAAAAGGACCTCACCAACCTGGACTCGTCCCCTCATCTCCTTCTCCATTATGCAGACGATCTCCGCTTATGCATCCTTCTCCACAGACCGATCTCCAACACTCCATGACCCTCTTAACTGGCCTCTCGTGGATATAAGATTCCAGAACAAGGCCCAGATCTGTTAGCCATCAGTCACCTATCTGGGTCTGTCAATCGCAGGATAGGGAGAATTATTCCCAGGACCAGGTTAGAGGAACTCCTTGCCTTCCCCACCCACAAACCAAAAGTGAGCTGCTTGCACTACCAGGCCTCTTTAATTCCTCTGCATAAAGATCTTCAACATTTCCCTTGCTGCTCAGCCTCTCTATCATGGCTCTAAGGGGCCCCTAGAGCAGTCCCCCTCCCCCTTCATCCCTCCTTTCCCCCATAAACACACTTAAGTCTGTCCTCTGGCTTCCATACTAGTCTTTCACATGCTAACCAAGGACAAGTCCTCAAAACACTTTGACAAAAGTTGGGAGAGGACACCATTTCCTCCTGGTTTATTTCTCTAAACAGCTAGAAATAAGTCACTGCAGGCTGGACATTTGCCCCTAGACCCTGGCCACAGTGGAACTGCTTATCCCCGAGACAAACAAAATCTCACTTCACACTCAGTTCACACTCACTCAAGGGCCTCATCAGCTACTGAGATTTCCTAACTCTCCCTCCATCCAGAGCTGCTCCATACTTACTAATATTAAATCACAGCCTTGTATTTGGGCCACACCCACTATCCACCCACCCCACAACACTTCTCAAATAACCCCTCCATGTCCTCTGAGGTCCTTTGCTCCACTATAAGATACTTGCTTTGTCTTCTAACCCTTTTGCCAGTATATTGGTTCACCACCTGAAAAAGCCCCAGATTTTTTCCAAATGGAAACAGCCTAAAATAAACCCCTTACTCAGCAGGATGTGCTGTACTCAAGGAAACCCTGCTGCCGAGGGGCCCAGCCCCTACCAGGCTCCCAGGAAGTCAGAGAAAATGGAGAGGAGATGTGGGTAGACAAACTATTGAACAGATGCCCAGACACACAGGGGGTACTGTATCTGAGGGCCAAAGCTTAGTTTATTTTATTTTTCTCTTTGTTGGTTGTTCTTTCTTTTCCTAATCCTTTTCTAATTTATTTATTTACTTATTTATTTATGGTTTTTTGAGACAGGGTTTCCCTTGTATAATAGCCTTGGCTGTCCTCAAATTCTATCTGTAGAACAAGCTGGCCTTGAACTCACAGAAATCCACCTGCTTCTGCCTCTTGGGTGCTGGGAATGAAGGTGTGCACCTCCAATGCCTGTTCTGTTCTTTATCCTCTTGTTTTCTCTTTTCTTTGTCTTCTCAGCTGTCTCCCTTATAATTCTTTGAAATGTTCTTTGTTATATTTGTTCCCTGATGTTCCCTTTATATCTCTCCTTATTCTTATTTTTCCTATTTTTATTTTCCTCTTATTTCTGTTATACCTGAGACAAAAATTCCATTCTTTCACATCATATGAGTGTTCTGTCTGTATGTAGACCAGTTTACTGTCTTTTGGCTTTCAGATGCCCTCAGTGAATTAATTCCTTCCTGAGCATTTCTCCCCTCTGCTTCTCCCTTGCTTTCTGAAAGTCCAGCCACACCTGAAAAAGGCAGCTGGAGGCTGTGGGTGGAGCCAGTGGCTTCTGGCCAGAGGACAACCATAGCTGGAAGACCATAGGCCTATGGAGAGCAGCAGGTGGAATTTTGGCCAATTTGTTTGAAAGACGGTTTTTTCCTGGAGGCGTGGTCCGGCAGAATTGTGGGTTGAGAACCAGGTGAAATGATTCTAAGAGCCTGGTGAATGGGGGAATCGCAGAGCCAGGCGCTAAGGCCATTATGTCTGAGGACTTGAACATCCTGTCCTCGTCCATCAACAGGGATGGCAACGAGCTGCAGGAGATGACAGGTGAGAGCCCAGGGGTGAGGGGAGATATGCTGGGACTCTTGGCACAAGCCTAAGGGCACTACCTGAGGTGGGCTCCCTCCGCGGGAAAGACTTACCTGAAACAGATATGTTCTGGGCACGTGGATGTTCGGCAGGCCACAATGTAGCATTGGGGTCCATGGGCAGAGCAGTGAGTCCCTGGGATTGTGGACATGGGCACTTTAGTCCATTCCTGTATCTGCCTACGACTCCTTCATGTGTACCACAAGGATTCTAGAGAAACTTTAAAGGAGTGCTCAGCTAACCATCAGTTCTCCTTTATACACAATAGGATCATTTAATTTCTTTTCACAATTTGTTTCTTCAAGGTTCATACTGGGGCCTGTGATTAATTCTGTAAGCTACATGACCAAGGAACTGTGGCCTAAGTTTGGGTACAGAGACAAAGTTTTCTTGATCATCAGTCTGTTTTTCCACAGGCAGAATTCATGGGTCTATATGTGTGAAACTTCCTTCTTAGTTTCCATCCTTGACAAATCTCACATCTAACAAAGGGGAAGGTAACTTTTTGTGTATTTTTGCCTTTTTTATATCTCTTATTGGAGCAATTGCCCCAATAACCTAAACCATTTTCCTAATCATCTTTACTGTCTTAAATACCTGTATCTTTTAGGTAAACTCAGAAAGTTGAATTAAATCATTGATCTAACTAAGCATCATTGCTCCCACAAAAATAATCTTCATTATGATCTGCAAGTAAAGTGCCCGGTGAGGAGTGGGATTTAATAATACCAAGGCCAGACACAGCAGGAACAGGGCCACAGCAATCAGGAGGAATGAGAGCAGAAGCAAGGGGCATTTTGTAACTCAACCTCACCTCCTCCCTCCCTTACCATGCCACCCCCTCCATCGGGATTTGCCTCTTGGGGGGGGTTAGATTTACTATCCAGTGAATTGAATTCCCTAAGCTCTCTTGCTGACTGTAGCTACTCTGATATGGGCACTGGCAGAAAGCCACTAGTCCCAGACGCCCACACTTAGTAGAAGCAAATCCCTACCCTTCACACAGCTTCCCAGTGGCAGAACTAAGTGTTCCTACCTGGGCTCTAGCACTTGCTTCCAGTCTTAGAGTCAACATATACACTGGTTTCAAATACATCTGCAGCATAACACATGAAACACCTTACTCTGGAGAGAAAGGGGTTTCCTAAGCAAAGGAAAACATCAATAATAAACTCCCTTTTCATACAGAAACGAAGCAGTTCTCTTTCCCAAGCAGTCATTGCCCACTGCAGGTGACAGCAAAAGACAAGTGATTCTTTTCTCAAAAACAGGCTGACCAATGTCCCAACAGACCACCCTGCCATGTCCTACAACAAAGACACCATCTCCAGAGCCAGTCTTGTACACTGAAAACATTGCTTCCCACGGCTGTCACCACATACAGGGCACTGGACAGTCAGTCTTGGCTTCTGGACTATGGATGTCATTTCTGCCCCTAGAAAGGCTGAAGCCAGTTTCTTCCCATAGGAATTTTGTCTCCTCCACCCTTGTGGATTAGACATTTGCTCATCTACCCACATGGCATGGGATGTACGGTCCATCCTTGCATGCGAGTGAGATCTGAGATTCATGGGATCCTCAAGGTTAGGCAGTAGATTACTCTTAGTTCAGGAACTAAGAACCCTGGGTCAAGCTGTGTTTCTGGCATATCTGGCCTTCTTTCCACCATGGCCATTCTTATGGACCAGGGTTTCTTTAAAGAAAAAAAAAACATTTTTTTAAGGTAGTTGCAGGCAAGTGTGAAGTGCGTTTTTCTTGTAAGATTCTTTTATTTTCCTTATGTAATTTTCAAAGTAGGCATTCTTATATTCGTATTTTACAGATAAAGAACAACAAGGACAACCTCTCAGAATCGTCTCCCCCATGTCTCCTGCTAGGCTTCACTGCTGCTATGCAGTGATCATCGTCCTCACTGGAGCTGTGATTGCACTTTCTGTTGCTTTGTCATTGTCAGGTGAGTGACATTCTCCAGATCCTGCAGCATTCTGTCCACATCCACACTGTCAGTTACACTAACTGACCACTGTGAGCCAGGCACTGTGTGAAGGGCGGAAGGGAAAACACACTGGAAATTCCTGTTCTCTGGGAACTTAGGGTCTAGCAAGAAGATGCAGTGAAGGAACAGTACAGGCTGTGGTGTGCACAGGAGGCCAGGCTCAGCATCCCTGGGAATAAGCATCCCTCTAGAGAGATGCAGGAGACATGTCATCCTGGGGGATCAATTTAGGCAGAACACTGAAGGCGTAAGTCACAAACAATGCCACACCAATTCGGGGTTATGATTATTAGGGTGGTATTTATTTAAAGGGGAAAAAACTTACAGATCACTGTCCCAGGCAACAGCCCTCTATGCAACTAGGAAAGGAGTCTAGTAGCCAGCGGAGCAGGAAGTGAAGAGAGAGAGAGGAGAGGGAAGTGGCTGCTTTTTTAAAGGGAGAGAAACCACGCCCCAGTGGGCTGGTACTTCAGCGGTGATAGGCTGGAGGAGTGGGAGGACCTCCCGCAACAGAACACAAGAAGAAAAAACCCAAGTAGGAGCTTCAAGGAAGCTTCTACAGCAAGGGGCAGTGAGGGCAGTGAAGAGTAATATGGTTGGGGAAGATACAGAACACTCCACCTCTTCATGATTCATGGTTTCAGTTAATATTTTCACCTATGGTTTGAAAATATTTAATAGAATGATCCAGAAATACGCTGTTCGTCAGCTTTTAGTTTTAGACTATTCAGAATAATGTGCTAAAGTCTTGTACAGCTTCCCTGCCATAGCTGGAGTAATGATTCATGATATTGTTTTATAAAATCAACTTTAACCATGTCAGTGACTAATGTACAAGTCTAAACACAAACAAACTTTTGCCCACGAGACTTAGTATGTATAATCTAAACTGTCAGGAGGCTCTACTTAACAGTCACCCTCAGGGCCTGTTGCATTTGTTCCTTTCATTAATGCCTCATGGTAGTGTGTATAAGAACTGGGAACAGCTACAACAAATTGCCCTGCACTGAAAATAAATATGTGATAGTCATTTCTAGTATTTAATATTTCTTATCAAATCATTTATTTCTATCCTCAGAAGCCCTTCCAAGGAGCCTTGTAGTCATTCTTACCTGTTAAAGGAAGAAAAAGGCAAAGTTATGAAAGAAAAATGTTATTTTTCTAATCAGTCCTGCATTCAGAAATTCTTATACATACCCCACACACAATCACTCTGTTGTTATAGACTCACAAATGAACACATCACCCTGCACCATTAACATAATCACTCAAACACTGACCAAGTCCCAAACCCTGTGCATCTTACTGAACTTCTACCCAGTTAGGAGAGCCAATCTGAAGCCATAGAGTTTTGGTTATGGTTTTATATTTTCTTTGTATTTACATTTTTACACGCTTATCAGCCATAAATTAGAAGAAAACCAGCAAAGTTGAAACCAGAAATGTAACGCTTTTTATAACTTTCTATGACGTTGGCCTCTGCTTTAATCCTGTGCTTCCTTGTCACCTTATGTCTCCCTTCCTTGTTCTCCCTTTTACATGTAACTCCATGCCCACTCTCACAGTTGTTGACACTGTACTTTATAGCCGGGGACAAGCATATGAGGGAGTGCATGGGGTCTCCTTCTTGGTGAGTTTGTGTGACCTTATTTAATATTATACTTTGTACACCCCCCACTTTTCTACAAGTTTCTATTTCTTTATGTCTGGATAACTTTCTGTGTTACACATGTACCACATTTTCATTATCTGTTCATCAGCTGATGTACAACTAGGTCAGGTCCATTTTGCTCCTATTGTACACAGGGCAGCAGTAGACACGGATGTGCAGGTCTCTGTGTTATGATGTAGTGTTCTCTCACATATGCCCAGGAGTGGCATAGCTGAGTCACCAAAGGTCTATTTGTAACTTTTTTTAAAAAAAATTATTTATTTATTATATATACAGTATTCTTAGTATACCTGCAGGCCAGAAGAGGGCACTAGATATCACTACAGATAGCTGTGAGCCATCATGTGGTTACTAGGAATTGAACTCAGGACCTTTGGAACAACAAGCAGTGCTCTTAACCACTGAACCATCTCTCCAGCCCCCTATTTGTAACTTTTTAAAGGAGCCTCCATCCTGGATGTTTCAGTTTGTACTCCCATTAGCAATAAATAAGTGTCCCTATTTCTGCAGAGTTCTGACATCTGTTGTAAGGTTGCTTGATAATTGCCATTCTGACAGCCTCTAATGAGAGCCAGCATACATTCATATGAATTTAATGTATGTGTACATGATAACAGGAAGTTTTAATCAAAGTCTTGGTATCAGCAAATTATTTGACCATGCCTTGTTTTGCATGCTGGTATTCTCCATAGTTAAATCCAGAGAAGTGAGGAGTCTTATTTGGTCATTACAAAAGCAGGATGTGTTCTCATTCCTCCCACTCTTCAACTGGACTTAGGCAGCTTAGTCCAGTGCTTCTATGTGGGTTTCTGTCAGTTGCTGGATAAAAGTTCCATGGTGATATTTAAGATATTCCTCAGTCTGACTAGAGGGAAATCAAGATTGTGCCCCTCTCCTCTATTGCTTAGGGTCTTAGTTGGAGTCAGCCTTGTGGATTCCTGGGAATTACTCTAGAGTCAGGTTTCTGCTAACCCTATAATGACCCCTCAATCAAGATACTTTTCCTTGCTCTCATCTGTCCTTCCTCGATTGTGAATATCCCATTCCCTCAAGTTCTCTTCAACCCTCCCCTTTCCCATTCCTTTTCAACTTCCACCCTTCCTTCTCACCTCACTCCCATGCTCCAAGACCATGATGGGTTCACCCACTGAAACAGTCTACCTGAGCTAATGGGAGCTCACCAAGGAAGGAACAAGCATAGGACCAAATTAGTCCCTCTGAATGTGGTTGACAGTTGTATGGCTGGGGCAGACTGAGGGGTCACAGGCAGTGACACCAGGATTTATCCCTATTGCATGTACTGGCCTTTTGCGAACCAATTCTCTTTGGATGCATATCTTTTTCAGCCTAGATATAGTAGGGAGGGCCTTGGAACTTCCACAAAGCAATGTGTGTTACCATCTCTGAGGATTTGAGGGCATGGGAGGATGTGTGGAGGGAATGGAAGGAAGAGAGGGAGTGGGAACTTGGATTGGTATTTTAAAAATCTAATTAATTAAATAAAAGCAGGATGTGGAGCAGGATCATAGGAAAGCAATCCGTAGGATTCTAGCAATCAGGGAGAGTACTCATAGGGTAATGACTATGATTTTGTTCAGGGTATGGTGTCTTCAGTCCCTGCTCTTAGGAGGCACAGCCAGGAGGATTATTACAAAATCCAGACAAGTACAGTCCACAGAGTGAGATCCAGGTCAGGCAGGGGGACATTTAGAGATTCTGTCCCCAAACTCACAAGACAAAGAAGAGAAGCTTTTCCTTAAAGTCCCACATGAAGGTTGTTGATTGGAGATCACCATGGTAGGAGGAGTCTCTTAGTGATCAGTAATGAAAGGTACAGTGAAATACACCTCAAAACAGAGATTGAATGGTTAGCCAAAGAGACAAGACATGGAAATTTTTATCTGTGATATATTTTTGCACTGTGCACTATCTAGTGAGAAAGGAAGAAAAGGCCATTGTGAGTCCTGAAGCTGGCAATGGGACCTGCCCAAGAGACTGGATTGGATTTGGAAGTAAATGTTTTTATTTTTCTGAACGCACAAGTAACTGGACATCCAGCCAGACCTCCTGCATGGAGATGGGGGCCCATCTAACTCACTTTGACAGTCTGGAGGAGCTGGTAAGAAAGGATCGGGAGTTGGTTTGTTGTTTGCTCCTGTGGAATATGTATTGCCTTGATAAAGAGAGCTTAAAGCTGGAACATGAGGAAGGTTCCCACCCTAGTCATTGGGGTGCATGGAAATCATGTTAGCATGTGCCGTTTGTCATGGTAACACATCTGACTGTAGCCCTGAGACATTCCATAGATATTCTCCCTTGTAGTGCTCATAGTCAACTTGTAAAGTCAAACATTCAGTTGAGAATCGTGGTGGTCATGTAAGTCTTTGTTCAATCTGGCAGGTGTTGCAAACTTAAGGTGACAACTGTTAATAACTGTAAATACAGGCTTAACAAGGGGCTTTCTCAGCCACAGAAGGATGGGTGGTTGTCAGTGTACTATAGGCTATGGCTGTAAAATGCATCCACTGAGAGCTGAGGGTTATTTAGGCTCCAAAGTTGCTGGCCCTCAGTTCAAACCTGCTGTCATCCCAAGAAGAGACTATAGGACAGAGACTCAAGGCTCATCTGAAACTGAGAGACACATGTCTTTGCTTTCTGTGTTTTTGACAGAATTTCCTGAATAGATTCAAGGGGGATTCTGCAGCCTGGATCGGCCTGCACAGAGAGTCATCAGAGCATCCTTGGATGTGGACAGACAACACTGAATATAACAACTTGTATGTGTTCAGAATGCTTCTCCTCCTACTGTGTTCATGTGCTGGGATTGTGTGAGTTGTGGTTGTGAAGGTGAAAGGCTGAGTCTTGTGAAGAGAACTGAACTGGAAGAGGAGAAACCCTTGGGTTGGAGGTGTGCCTTGGTGCTGGTTGTGTGTTACATGCCACAGCCAGTCCCCAGTAACTCCACATCCCGGCAAATTACATCTGTCAGAGTCACCTAGTATTGTTTCACTCCAAATAGCCTGATGATGGCATCTGGGGGTAGATGCTGTCTGCTCTCAGCACTTGGAATCTCTTCTTGCTGATAACTGCCCTTGTGGGATGCAGACAGAACTGCTGATGGCCACTAAGGGCTCTGAAACCCCAGGAAGCCACTGCAGAACTGCTGGACAGGACTTGTCAGATAGCTGTGTGCACAGTTGCTCTTATCACTGAAGCAGACTCCATGGGTATTGCGAACCTTCTCTAAAGTCTCATCATCAAAGGGCACCCAGGACAGCACTTGGATGTGAGCATAGGCATTTTGAACAGACCCATTTCACTGAAACAGTGAATGTCCATCAGTAAAGACCTTTAGAGTTTACTAAGTGCATTTTCTCCCCCTTTCATACATGTGAGAAATTCTTCAAGATAGAATTGAAAACCCCCCTTGCAATGCTACCCATGGCTGAATGAAGCTCGTGTGGACATGGCAGAGAGCAGCAGTCAAATGCTTTGTACACACAGTATAGGGTCCAACATGGATGAGTGAGAAAGGTGTGGTCACCAAAGGGAACCCTGAGAATGAAAAAGTCACTGGGTGTAACACTAGTGCTGGTTATTCCTCATGGCCTCTGCCTTTCTGTGATTCATGCTATAAACAAGCAGTGGACACGAGTGAGATATCATTGCTGGGGGAATGCAGTGGCTGATTCTGCAGACATTTTGTTTGTTTTTTGTTTTAGGTTTCCCACCCGAGGAGAAGGAGAACATGCCTACCTTAGTGACAGTGGGATCAGCAGTGGCAGGAACAACATACATAGGAGGTGGATTTGTAGCAAACCCAGCAGCTATACTTTACAGTGTCCAGTCATCTCACAGCTTGTGTAGACTGTGTCAAAGCAGTTATGAGAGCCCTGTAACATGTTATCTACAGCTGCAGCCTCATTTCTTTATCTTATAAAATTATCAAAATCAACACCTAATCTGTGGTGACATCAGAAATAAAAATCTATCACAGATGACTATACTTATAGGTACTTGGAGTACTATGGGTGATTCTAAATTAAATAAGTGTTCGCTATGGGTTTGTACTCACTTCATAAACCTGAATTACAGTCATAAAATCCAGCAAAATAACATTTCTCTGTGTTCTATTCATAGTTTATTTTGTTCCCCTTTTGTTTCAATCCATTTTATTTCAAATAAACAGTGTGACACTATTTCTCAAATAAATAAATATTTTGTCCTATGGAAATTACTTTGTGTTTAGCAGTTTTAATTATCTTATTTACAGTACACACTAATCTCAAGACTGGGGGAGAAAGATCACTTACTCAAATATTCATGACCAAATTAATTAATTAAAGCATGCTGCCGGACGGTGGTGGCGCATGCCTTTAATCCCCGCACTCGGGAGGCAGAGGCAGGCGGATCTCTGGGAGTTCGAGGCCAGCCTGGTGTACAAGAGCTAGTTCCGGGAGAGAAACCCTATCTCGAAAAACCAAAAAAAAAAAAAAAAACAAAAACAAAAACAAAAAAACAAAAAAAAAACCATGCTTTTTTATTTGTGTACATGAACTTCCTCCCTCTGAAGTGGGGTTTGAGAGGTCAGTATGGCAGTTGAGGGAGACAAGATTTTTATAAACCTCAGGGTAGGAAGTTTCCAAATTGTGGTCATGGCAGGTGAAAGAGGTAGAATTACAGGATCAGAACATAAATTACACAATAGCCCATCACAGGCTCCTGAAAGAAAGACATGGCTGTAAAGGGGGCGGAAGGGGGTAGTCATTGGCAACAGGGAGTCAAAAGGTGGTAATGGGTTTTCATGTAACCTTTTATAACCAAGATAGGATTACAAGATGCTTATAAAAAATGTTTGGGAACAAAGGCATGATTCCCATTCCTGGCACAGGCAGTACAGAAACATTTGTAGATAAGGGTACAGGTGGCCATTGCCCATTCCATGAAAACAGAAATTTATGGTTTAATCATAAACAGAGTGGACCTATTTTGTCTTTACTATAACATGGCTTTAAAGTCTAAGACAGGGGCAGGCTGATTCTTCCTACATTTCATTCCATGTCCTAATTGCCCTCCTATCTTGTGATTTTGTTTCTCTGAGAAAGAAAGAGCTTCATCTGCTTCCTGAGTGGCTTTTCTACTCCAATGGACAAAGTTAACAAGCCACCTGACAAGTGGGATCTAGTTATTAGTGGGCTAATTGGGAACACCCGAGGACTGAAAACAGAAATTCTTCCTCTTTAGTTTCAGCTTCTGTCTTCCTGCCCCCGAGACCCAGTTCAGAGGTCAGTGCTGCAGAAACTGCCAAGTCTTCTGTGTGCCTGCTGAAATCAATCACCACACCAGAGCTCCTGCAGGAAGGATGAATAGGTATGCATTGAATGCAATCTGAATCAAACTGAAAGGGCGAGAGCAGCTTCACAGAGAAATCACAGAGGAGCTGAAGCTCATGAAAGTTAGATTTTCACATTGGGTCTCTCTCTACAGTAGAGGAGAAGCTTGGGGGCCTCTCATATAGCAGTAATTCTTTTGGACTATGTCATGCTTAAGTATAACTGGGCAAGAGAAATGGTCAGTGAATAATTAAGAGTTGAGTCATAGTTTTTGTTTGGTCAGTGAATAAAGTGAGGACATCACCATTTCCCTGTAGGTTTGAGGGGAAGCTTTTATTGCCGATATGAGGACGAGCAGCAAGAGGCACCTGGAAGAGTCCACAGTGGGGAGAGAAAGGAGTAGACTAAACCTGGCCAGCAGATTCAACTTGGCCAGGAGAGAAGAAAGATCAGAGGAGCGCGTGAGAGGAGGACCAGAGAGGAAGTTAAAGAGAGAGCATGGCCAAAATGGCAGAGAGGAATTTCAGGGAAGGAAAAGCACTCTATCTCAGTAAAAAAAACACTTTCTCCTGCCACCTCTTTACCATGGCTTTAGTTGGATCAGCATCAATGAGGGTGGGCTCTTGTCCAGGTGAGTGACAGGCCCAGCAGGATTTGCTCTTTCCCTGCTTGTTTTCCTCATGCTGGCAGGTCCATTCCTACACTGGCATTAGAACAGTGTTTCTCAACCCATGGGTCTCTACTCCTTTGGGGTCACATCTCAGATATCCTGCTAATGATATCTACAGATATCCTACATTATGATTCATAGGAGTAGCAAATACAGTTATGAAGTAGCAATGAAAATAATTTTAGGATTGGGGGTCAACACAACATGAGAAACTGCATTAAAGGCTCCCAGCATTAGGAAGGTTGAGAACCACTGCATTAGAGCCTACTTCTTCGGGATTCCAGCATCTCCAGAAGACCATCTGAGACATCCAGTCTCATGGATTGAGCAACTTCTGGATTCTTGGACTTTCTGTTCATAGGCAACCATGGTTGGACTAGCTGGATCACAGCCTGCAAGTCATTCTAATAAATAATCTTTCTATAGACAGAGAAGGTTCATTCTATAAGTTCTGTTGCTCTAGAGAACCCTGACAAATACAGTAAAATATGGTGACAAGGAAGGACAGGATGCAGTCCAATGGCCTGTGAGTCATGAAAAAGGTTATGAAGAAAATGGTTTTACTAGTGTCAGCTCTTACATAGGTTTTTCTTATTTAGTGGTGAATTCATAAACATGTAATTGACTGTGAAATTCTAACACCAAACTAAGGCTCCATGACTTCAGAATGGCTGTTCCAACTATGTGGAAGTACAAATATATATATATATATATATGTTTGGAACTTGGTAAGTGTTTGAAGCTATTTTAAGGTGCCAAACTTACAGTTTTCGCTTTATAAGGTTTCTGCTCACTCAGTTCATTGCTGATACTAGAGTTATATTCCTAACAGTGTATGACTCATTCCAAGTCTCTGTGGCTCAATAAATACTTGAAGTTCATAAAGTGCCATTTTGGCCTCCTAGTTTGTGGTGAGAGTACCCCATTTGCAACAGGATGAGAAATCTCTGACCTCCTACCTGGGCTCCGTGGTATCTGTGCTTCTGAAAGTGGTCATTGCAGTCCAACACCAGACCTGAGGAATGGGAGAAGTTTTGTTCAAGGACAGAACAGCTATGCTGGGGCCCAGCTTTCACCTTGCATGCAAAGGTGTGTGTCCAGTCACTCACCCGAGGGCCTTCTGCATAAAGGGCTGTGCTTCTGGCCTTAAGCCAACTTTTCACTGTGAGAAGGACAATGCCCTCATTGTTGACACAGGTAGTTGCTATTCACTTGCCATAGCCCATGTCCATGGGACTCTTTATATAGAGAGAGGGGGTACTCACCTCACACTGAGAATAAATAAATAAGAACAACAAAAATATCCTAGCCATGTGAGACATCATATGTCTGCCAAGAGAGGATGCCATTGTGAAGTGTAAAAGATCTTAAAAGGGAATCCCCAAAAGTCTAGGGAACAAAGCAGCAAATGTGGCTGCCTTGAAAGTAGCTCTGGAAGCAGAGAGGCCTCTCCAGATCTTGGTTACCCTGCCTGAAATTTAATTTCTCTAGATTCCAATTCATATACAAAGAGATCAAGTGGAAAGGAAGAAAAGATACTCAATAGGAGACAAATGGATGGTGTTTCTTTCTGAATAAGGGACTTGTACTCCCTCTGTTATCAGAGGACAGATGGTCACCAGACTCTACCAGGCTGCCCATCTGTGGGCATCTATAACTGCTGAACAACTCAGGTCTAGATATTATTCCCAGATTGAAGTCTCCCCTCTCCCTGGGGTCCAACACAGCCTGGTCTTCATTGCCAACGTTTTCCTAAATCTGGCTAAGGTCCTAAATGTCGATTGGAAACTACATGTAAGACACAAAGGTCAGGGAAGACAGGAAGGATAAATAGAAAGGAAACGTGATCTAAGCATGTTCTTGAGAATGGTGAATACTGGACCAATTCTGTGCCTTTTTCTTTCCGAAGGGAGAGATGCATTCTGCATTATGAATCTCCTAAAACAGAAATGACTATTCATTTCTTCCCTATGTCCATGCATGTCCTGCAACAGTCACAGGGCTATTCATCAGAGAGTTGGTAAGGTTGTATGTTTACTTGAAGCCTGCCCACAAGTTCCAGCCTGGCAACCTTGTGTGGGTAAAGAGATTCCAACACAGAGGCTTTAGCAAGTATGGAAAGTCTCATACCCTGTGGTCCTCACACTGCTACAGCATCACTGGTGTTCCCTGTGCACACAGCACACCAGCATAGGTAGACTACACATCATAAGGACAGAAGTGTCATCAGCAGGTCCTCTGACTCCCTAAGGACAGGACTGATATGGGTCCTATAACTATGGTTGTTTTATTTTCTATTTTTGTCTCAAGTCAAAAGGCCCCAACCCTCCTTAAGCCAGAAACTTATTTATAGGGATTAAGTATGACTGCAACCAGGTAATTCATAGACAGTCTACCCACCGAGCCCACCCACCCACTGTCCCAATAGATTTCTCTAAAATATTGCACCTAGATGCTATTGGGGGATGATTTGCTTTGCCATGAAGAGCGGTGACTCCCCTGGGACTGTGGGTCCAGTGGTGAAGAAAAAGGGCCATGATCTAACCAGTACCCTGCCTGCTTAACTCCATCCCTCAGCCCCAAGATCCCCAAAGCCAGGCAAATAACATCTTGCTTAAAGGCACTGTGAAACAGAATCCTCCTGGGGGCACACTAGTCCCTTCATAGTCCTACAAAGAAAACTGTTGTGGATTATTAATGTTATTTTATTATTTTTTTGGTACAGCTTTTCTGTATTTAGAAATGTTTTGATATACAAACACCTGTGTGTTTCAAAGGGGTACAGAATTAAGCATGGACTGTGCTGTACAGGTTTGTAGCTTAGGAGCCACAGTCCTAGGTGTGACATAGGCTGTGGTGGGGAAGCTGTGTGAGTGCACTCTGTGCTGCTTGCACAAAGACCAAAACACCACAAGTGCACTTCTAGGAATCCATCCTCATTGATCCCAGGCTCTCAGGTACCTGTAAAATGCCAA